GAATCTCTTCTCTTCTCAGCAGCAGCCCCAGGTTCAGGCCCTGCCAAGAAGTCAAATGTCCAAAGCTCAGTTGGGCCTAAATGTGATAAAGTGCAACTGGTAATTTAGCTTCAGTTTCTAGTTACTGCACAAAGAGTGCTTATGGATATTTACTAATTTACGTAATCTAGTTGTTTATGTCTGAATGTGATCGGAAAATGCAAGAAAAGTAATCACTATTAACTATATCTATTAACTGATTAATAAATAGTTCCTAATAATTATAACCATTGGTTATCATTTTATGCTGGTGCCATATAACCATAAAGCTGCGAGTTGTGTCATCTGTCAGCTTGTCATTGACGGAAAAATAAAGAGATGTCAAAGTGAAGTATCAAAATTGATGTAAACGAAATTAATTTGGAAAATTTTAGGATGATACAGGTATATAACCAACCCGTCTTGAAACCAGTAGTGTCTGCGGTATTTTCTTCCCTTGTACATATCATGGAATCATGAGAGTTCACTTGTATTGTACAGTGTGTTTGATAATGAATGTTTATCTGCATGGTTCAGTTTCTAAAATAGACTCTTTTATCATTTTCTCACTGATATATATTGTGTTTGGCAATGATGTAAAGGTGGTATTATCTTCCTTTTTATTTTGATTTAGATTAATATGATCATTCCTTGCAGGTTGAGCATAGGCGAGCATATAATTGTGAAATCATGCTTTCAAAAGTGAAAGTTCCGTTGCATGATTTAATGGTAAGATTGATATTAATTTTATTCTCTTACAAAGTAGTAAAGAAAACTAAACTATTTTTGATAATATGGAGTGGTATTTAGTAAGAAAATTATGGTTTTGTTACCAATGAATGAATGATAGCTTTGTCTTTTGATTCGGAGTCTATCTATAATTTACTGGTCATTTGTGTTCATTGGAAACTCAAAAACGTTGGAATCACTTTTAGCATACAACTGTAAAGAACTGCGTATCACTTTTAATAAATCCTGAAATATAAAGAAATAGGAAAACTAATATAGGATAATCTAAACTATATTAAAATAAAATCAAGATAATATACAATATCATCTATATATTCTATCACAATGTAATTTCTTCATTACCATGTAGCATATTGATATTAGTAAGTTACCTGGAATTGCTACTGCAAGGGCAAACCTTAGTGTACAAGTCTTCCCGATTTTGTAAGGGTAGGGATGCGAGTCGACTGTATGAAGTTTTACCTTTGCATATTTGCAAAGAGGAATATGCAAAGAGGCTGTTTCGTAGACACAAACTTCTGACATTCAAAGGAGCAACCTTGCTCCAAGGCTCACCCTCAACTGAAATTGTTACTTTATTCTGCAATTGTTGTGTTTTGTGATTTTAAAAGAGATTATTGCTATTGAGGAGCACAATTTCTTGGCGTTGGATTAAAGTGAAAGAAAAATGTCCGTAATATCATATGAAATATCTGTAGAATTTTTAACAAATTTCTTAACACATTTTGCTGAGTCTTTAAATTCACCGAGCACATGCATTGATAGCACGGTCTTCACTAATAACAAAATCCATTTTAAACAAAGCTTGGGGTGGGGGGGAGGGGAATTATATAACGTACATTTGCAATTGTTCACTAGCATATTTCTGTTTTTGGTGTGCCATAAGAATAATGGGGGATTGAGCTACATTTTATGCTTCATTCTGATCTTCTCTTTTTCTAGTCTTGTTGAAGCTGTAGAATCATGTAGATAAGTTCTGGTGATTTTTTATTCATTAATAATGGCTTGTTTGGAATGTTCAGAGCTCAGTACTAGCACTGGAAGAGTCAGCACTAGACACTGATCAGGTTGAGAACCTCATAAAATTTTGTCCTACAAAAGAGGAGATGGAAGTACTCAAGGTTGGGATATAATGATGGGTAATTATTATTCTGAATTCATATGCCTTAACGTGCTGAATCTCCTATTTCTCAAAATTTCATAACTATAATTAATTTTGGCACAGGGTTATACTGGGGAAAAGGAGAAGTTAGGGAGATGTGAACAGGTACATAAGGTCTTATGATTTTTGTCTTGGAGCTATATTTTGGATCTTTTCTCTTAGACTACAAGATGTATGAATATTTAAATTTTAGCATTGCTTCACAATTGTAAGCGTAGCTGCTGTCTTCAGTGGTGGAGACTGCATTTAACCTTCTCTTGGCATGAATCTGAATTATATCTTCATGAATTTTTCATTACAGTTCTTGCTGGAGTTGATGAAGGTGCCCCGGGTAGAATCCAAGCTCAGAGTTTTTTCATTCAGGATCCAGTTCCACTCTCAGGTTGAAAGATTTCCATTTACCTGCTGTATCCTTACTACTTACAACAAAAAATGGATTTTAATTGATTTCCAGTTTGACCCTGTTAATATTTTTATGTAGGTTTCTGACCTTAAAAATAGCTTGAATGTTGTGAATGCTATTGCAGAAGAGGCATGATATCTTCCTTTATACCGAAACATCTTTTTGGCAATTTGGTTTTCTTTCTTTCCTTCTTTTTTTAAATGAGAAATAAAATTTGGGTGTTGCGATGATTTTGTCATTCTTTTTCAGATCAGGAATTCTTTCAAATTAAAGAGAATTATGCAAACAATACTTTCTCTCGGAAATGCTTTGAACCAAGGAACTACTAGGGGTATGTTAAAACAAATGCACTTAGAAGTAGATAGATGCAACATGAATCATGCAAGTTTGGATAGTAAAGCAAAGTACCATCATTTTTAGAACATATCTGTGATGGAGTGCGATCTTCATTAGACTCTTTTCGTATTTTTTTTGATAGAGTGCGATCTTGTATGTATAAATATAACCCATACACTGTTTTTCTTTCCCTTTCACCCTTTACTTAATTTTCCCCCCCACTAGTTGTGATAGACTGATAGTAGACTGTTGTGTGCTTGGAGTTTTCTTTTTCTCTTGGACGGTAAGGCTAATGGCTCTTTTGTTCTTTTAGTCAATTTCCAATAATTTCCTTTAGGGATCTGCCACCCTTTCATCATTCCTTAATAAAAAAAATTTCTGACTTCAATATAAATAATTTCTTTATTAATCCTCTGCATCAGCCATTTCAATGTTGAGAATGTCATGTTCACCAACGTTGTTGCTACACTCGCAGTGGCATATTAATTAAGATCTATTGAGAGAAAACTAAATAAAATTGGTGAATACATTTACAAAACATCAAAACAAAGTTTTAGTATCATTATATTCAATTATTCATGAGGTCTGCTGTGCAGACCTACTATATAATGATACTAGAACTTGGTTTTAATGTTTTATCTCTCCCTAATGTATAAGCTTTACCCAGAAATATAGGAAATTAAGGTTGGTGGGTTAGTTATTCTACTTTTTTTCTCTCTAAATAAAAATAGAATAAATCAAGGGAACTGAAAAGTGGGCAGTCATGTAGTTATTTAACAAATTTTGAACGTTTAGTTTAAAATGTTTAAATAAAAAATATGGATTGCAGAAAGCTAGATATATGATGAATGATTTCAATTCGAACCATGGCTTATTTCTAAATATAGAAGCTAAGAAATTAAATAATTCACATTTCCGTCATTTTTTTATTTTTTATTTTTTATTTTATGACTGCTGTCGTTGTTCATTTCCTTTTGTTGATTTCATGTGCTTTCTATAATCCATTGTGTGATTTCATATTGTAGCACATTACATTGACACTATTAGTCTTTGGAGTTTAGTCTGATTGTTGACAAATGTTTACACTATCCAATCTTCGTTTAGGTTCTGCTATTGGATTCAGATTGGATAGCCTTCTTAAACTCACTGAGACACGTGCACGGAACAATAAGATGACTCTCATGCATTATCTTTGTAAGGTACATCTTGCTATTTATTCCTTTCTCATAATGATTTTATCTGACTCTATGTTTACCCCTAGGTGCTAGCTGACAAACTACCAGAAGTTTTAGACTTCTCCAAGGATCTTGCTAACCTAGAGCCAGCAGCAAAGGTTTCTGACTTTCTTCAGTTCATTATGTTGACGACAATGACGAGCATTGTATATTTATGATCACTGACTTGTATAATTTGTTCCAGATCCAATTGAAGTTTCTGGCAGAGGAGATGCAAGCTATAACCAAAGGGTTAGAGAAAGTTGTACAGGAACTATCAACCTCTGAAAGTGATGGCCCTATGACAGAAACTTTCCGCAAGGTATAGGCATCATGTCTTCACTCCTTGTATAAATCTTTCATAGTTTGGAGAAGTTCATTCATCAACTCTTGTCTTTTCTTCTTTTAATTTTTGTTTTTTAAAAAACTGCCGTTGTTCATTTTCATTGCTTCAAGTTTTTGATTTACACAAAAATTTATCCTACAGTTATCTATGAATCATTTATTTATCGAAATTAATTGTAGCCAATTGAGTTTGCAATCATATTTGTGAAAGAAGACCATTTTCTTTTTTGAATTTCCATTATGTGGAGGCAGACATTGAGGCTTGTTGGTGATTGGCCTAATGTTAGAGTTTGTAGTTCTGACTTTAGGAGAATGTGGTAAAGAGTAAAAATGTGCATACCTTTACTGTTAGCTAAAGTGTCCTGATTTTCATATAAAAAACTGTATGCAAATGTCAGTCTCTAACTTCTTTTATTTTGCCCCCAGAATTTGAAAGGGTTCCTCTGTTTTGCTGAAGCTGAAGTCCGTTCATTGGCTTCACTATACTCTAGCGTGGTAGGCTTTCAAGGATATATTTTTCGTTCTTCTAAAACCATATACGGGCTATGCTTTACCTGGAGAGTCTATGTTTACAGGGTAGGAACGTGGATGCATTGATTCTTTATTTTGGTGAAGATCCATCTCGCTGCACATTTAAGCAAGGTGTGTGACTGTTTAAATATAATATTCTCTTTTAATAGCTGATTGAATGAGAACTCTCTGTTTGGTTTATCTAATTATATTTTTTGCTTTGAACCTTCCCAGAATTATACGTTCCAAAGAGAAAGTTGGTGCATGGATTCTTCACTTATACTAAGCTGCATACATAAGAATTTTCAAGATTTGATTTTATTACTCCCAATTTCAATATATATATAAGTAATGAACTACCTTTATTGCTAATTTCCAAACTATCATTTGGATGTCTCTTTTTGAAGTAAAAAATTTAATATTTACATTTTGCATGCAAATTCTTAAGTCTGTTCTTGTCCTAAAATTTCATTAAATTGGAAGCAATGTGCGGTTCTTTAAAACTGATCTTCTTTATCGATGTCTAGTAAGGTTTCTCTTGCCTGTTCCTATTTGAAGCTGGGAAACTGTCACTTTGAGGGAAAAAATCATAAATGCACTTTCCCCCCTTTCATTGCTTGACTTTATGTTGATAATTTGTGTTAGACATACTCTATTATGTAGTTCAGTTGAGGAACAAACCACGAATTTTTTCTCTACTACTAATTCTTGTGTTTATTTTGAATTTTCTGCAGTTGTCACAACTTTGGTCGACTTTACTAGAATGTTCAAAAAAGCCCATGAAGAAAATTGCAAGCAACTAGAGATTGAAATGAAGAAAACAGAAAAAGATAAAAAGAAATGTGAATCAGAAAGGATATTGCCTACAGCAATCCGGACCGGCAATGTCAAATAAGTGGTAATTAGATGAACTACTAGCTTCGAGAATCAGTATATACTGTAGCGTGACTAGGAATTTGACGACACAAAAACGGTTCCGGTGATTTTGAGGAGCATGTACAGTGGCACTAGTAGTAGGAACTGACATTGATAATCAAAGCGAAGAACTGCATTACACTGCAAAGTGAGGTTACTTTTTGAACCCATAGCCCGCTCACTTTGGTTGTACATTTTGTTTTTTCTGGTCGTCATCCTCCTTCCTCACACCACTTGTTTTATTCGATAATTGTGAATTATAGCAGAGATGGTATAGTTTGCATGAGTTGTGTTAGTTGCCAGCCATCTTGTATATATATTCTACGCTCAGAAACTATATAATTGTAAGTATTTCCAAGAAACCAGGTCATTTCTTTCCCCTCAGGCTTTATTCTCTCCGCCAGCAACACTGATTCACATCTGTAATGCAAAGGTTCAATATCTTCTTGTATACTTATATGACCATTTTTTTTTTCAGTAAAATATTTTTCAATACATTTCTATTAAATATCTTCTTAGGTGTTCCAAAAGCAACGGAAATTTCTGGCGCTGTATTATTGAATGTTTACTATCTTAGTTATAAATTATAATATTTAAAATATTGTTCAACTGGAAGATGTTGCTGAGTCATATAATTGAGGTAATATATATCATAATCAAGGTAATACATATTTAATGGTACTAAAACAAGAAAATTTGTTGTTTTTGGCCCGTAGACAAAACAAATGGAACAAAATGAAATGGGAGTGGAACAGAAAATTTCTGTAATAGAATCATTTTGGGGCGCAATAACATCCTCGTGGTCAAAACGCAGGTAGTTTTAAGTTGAGCTTGAGTCAATAGTAATGCTAGTAGAAATTTGGCGTTGGTAAAATCATTTTAGTAACACTGTTGTGTGTTTTGGTGCGTTGTAATTGTTTGTTTCAGCCTTGATCTCGACCATCCTTGAATTTAGATGTAATCTGGATCCAGAGAAAAATATTTTTTCTTGCAGAAAAAATTGGTTTGTTCCTTCCACCCCGAGACTGGAACTTGGGTCGTGAAAACAAAAGTTACCAAAGCACAATAAGAAGCAATCAGAATTTTGCTGTTTCTTCCCTTTATTAGAGGTCATGAATTCGAGACAGGTGTAAATGATCTTGAGTCATCCTTATATGGTAAGGCTGTGCTTAAATAAAATTAAGTACTTAAACCAAATTAAGTCGGGTAATTTCAATTATTATTGATTTTTTTTTTAATTCCATTAATTTTAATTCCACTTGAAAGTGGGGGCCGTGAGGATCGAACTCGTGATCTTATGGTTACTCAAGCTCTGATACCATGTAAAGAACTTTGGGATACACCATCTCAAAATATATTTCAACACGTCCCCTCACGCAAAAGCCCTTTGGGCTAGAAGCGTGGAATTGCACAAGCTTTTTGGTTTACCTTTGTGTGCTTTTTTATTTTAATTCCACTTGAAAGTCGGGGGCCGTGAGAATCGAACAAGCTCTGATACCATGTAAAGAACCTTAGGATACACCACCCCAAAAGCTAGCTCACCAAAAACTAGCTCAAAGGGTGGGAGTGCCCAAGGCCTTATAAAAACCACGTTAGTTGCCCACACAATCAATGTGGGACTATATATCTCAACACTAACCGTATCTTTAACAGGTTTACCAGACACATTTTAAGAATTTCTTAGTTAAAGTATTCCTTTGTTGTGAGATATTAGAAGTTAGAAATGGTATCTTATTGTCATTTAGGGGCACAATGACATTCTCTTCGTCGAAATTCGAAATGCAGGCAGTTTGAAGTTTAGTTTGAGCAAATAATAATACTGTCATAGAATTTTAAATCAACCCCTGGGCGTTGGCAAAATGATTTCAGTAACTCAATGCGTGGTTTGGTTTGTTGTAATTGTTTGTTAGGCCTTGAACTTGATTACCCTGAATTTAGATGTATTCTGGATCCAGAGAAAAAATATTTTTACTGCAGAAAAATTTGGTTTGTCCCACACCCTGGTGGTGAAACCGAAAGTTACCAAACCAGTAAGAGGAATAAATCTTTAGTTTTTTGTCATTTTGTGATATGTTGACAAAAAACATCACATTATTTAAAAATAAAATAAAATAAAATGACAGCTAATTAGATGATATTATATTTTTTTATTCACATGCCACAAAATAAATGGCTGATACAATGAATATTGCACTAACGATTTATTCCAATAAAGGGGGGTAATGACTTTGCACTGCAGTTCCATGTATATTAAAAATAAAGTACTATAATAATATTAATTGCTTATTTTTTGGAAATGCTTTTCTCTATATTATTTTAAAGAAAAAACTAAAGTACTAAAAAAAACGATACAATTAGTGCATAACAAAAGGAATTTTTTTAACGTGTCCTAAAGTTATTGATCATTAAATGCCTTTAAGTACTTAAAATTATGTTTTTAAATCATAAAATTCTTCAACCATCAGACAAAAAAAGAAACACTTCTGAAACATTGAAAAATGTTGGTTTGATCCTAGACTACTAGAAAGAAAACGACCAAAACACGAAATGAAGATGTCAATTGGGATAAGGAGGCTGAAATGTGTTTGCTCAATGACAATTGTATGCATCCATAGGCATCAAAATTCAAAACAAACGTTTATTGGTTAATAAGACGCCTTGCTAATTTGTGTCCAAATGTTAAAGGCTTCTTCTGGGTTAGGTGGGAAAGCTCGCAACCTAGTTACTGTTGAGGAAAGCTCGCAACCTAGTCAGTGTTGATAAAACTATAAGTTAAGGGCGTAAAATAATGTAAGTAATATAATAATTTGCTTCTCCTATAGAATAATTTATTTGCAAACAATCATTTTTGGGACTAATGTGGCACATACGTTGCACGAACATTTTGAACCTACGTTTCAGTGCCAAGTTGTAGATAGGAGTATAAATGAGTTAAGCTGACTTACAGGGGCTTACAGCTTAACTTATATTAGGTCAGACTTGGTCTATTATAAATAGTAAAATAGAACAGGTCTATGCTTTTAAAAAAATCTATTTAAAAAATAGGCCATAGATTTTTTTGTACATGTCGAACCTATAAGCCTACAAGTCGGTTTATATTATATTATTTATTTAAATTATAATAAATAAAATTACTATTTTAATAATTTTGTATAATAAAATAATATTATTTTAGTTATTTTTTTAATTGTTGAATGTTTAATAGGCTTAAACAGGCCTTAGGCCTGGGCGAAGACTTTTATTTTTTAAATATAGGTCAAGACAGACTTGTAATTTAGGACCTACACAGGCTAATAGGTCAGGTCATACTCAATAATTTTTACACAAACTTAACTTATTTAAGTCAAATCTAACCTATTTACGCCATCAGTTGTAGAACTCGCACAATCCACCGATGCTGTGATTACAAAATGTCATATAGAAAATTTGAATACTAATAAAGAGTTTGCGTCGGTTAATTATTTTTAAAAGTGAGAAAGTGGGGCAAGTAATAATCCATTATATTATTATATCGCAGTACATAGTAATAAGTTATTATTAAGAAAAGTACGTCTTTGTAATTTCGTTACTTGTGTTGCTTCGTGGAACTCGTGTTGAGTTGAGCCATTAACGTAGTGTTATTAATCAATAATGGTTAAGTTATTGCGTTGGATAGGTTGGCACGTGTGAAGAAGAGAGATAATCTAGAGTATGAGGTCAGAATATGGTAGTTAAAATCTGCATTTAAATCTTAGATTTTACGATTTTTTTTTTAATCAAAACGATTATACCAAAATTCTAAACGCTTTTATGATTTAACGATTTTTCTTACGTTAGAATTTTATGTTTTACGATTTTTTATTCTTCTTTTAATTTTAAATAAAATCTCGATTTTAACTGCAATAACTCGTAACAACAAACGGCACGTCGTGTGTGCCACTCAATTCACGTTACTTGAACGGTACTTATTTGGGATTAGGAATGCGGGCGTGACTGGGGGTATCCTTTGTCCTTCTTCCGACCAAAACCCAAGAAAGATTAAAAACAAGAAACCATTTGTCTTATCTCAATTAAAATCTTTATTAACCTCCCCAAACCAATTACGCTTATCCCAACAAGTTGACTTCCTCCTCCTCTCGGTCATAAGTCAATGTAGTTTTTTTTTAATATATTAGAAAACGTTTAATATTTTTATACAGCTGTCTCTCTAACATGATTTTTTTTATCCTGAATGATTCCTTGAATTACAGTCAGTTATCCTCGAGTGCTACACGTAAACGATAATGCTGCTTGTGGAGCTTAAAGTTATCTTACTTGAATGCCCAAACAAGATTCTGTGCCATTTGAAGGCTAATTTACCAATGTAAAGTTTTTAAAAATTTATTAAAATAACATAATTTAAAAATTGCTTAGCTTATCAAAATAATATAATTTTATTATTTTTAACCATTTTTTTTACTATGTAACTCCTACAAGTATGTCATATTTCAGTCATATCATGTTTATATTATTTTAATAAAAATTTTAAAATTATATTATATTGGTGATTCTACCCATTTTAACGTCATTTTTTATTGGATGCATCATACGAATTTGTTCTATTTTCTTAAAATATCTCTAAAATAATCCTTCTAATACTTACTTGACAATTAAGAAGATTGATTGGAAAGATATAAAAATTTTCCTTTTGTTGATTCTTCGGAACTAAACAAAAATGAGAAGAAAAAGAAAGAAAGAAAGAAAGAAAGAAAGAAAGAAAGGGAGAGAAATGTTGTTGGAAATTGAAACTGTACCCATTAAAAATGAAAGCAAAGGAAAAATGCAATACGCTACCAATGCTGTCAGTGAGTATTGGACTTTCGTCACGTTGATGCGAAATGGATTCCTAAATTGTGGTATGATTTGCCCTCACCAACAAGTCAAGCCCTCTGCTGTATCTCGACCAGCAAGAACAGTGCTAGAGGTCACGTGGGATCTCTTTAAAAAGTTTTGTTCTTGTAAGAGATTCTCCTATACGCACCAAACACTTCCACATGCAGCAACTTTTTTATACACGAAATTTCATCTTCTGTGTTATTATTGGTAGTGTCCTTAACGAGATATGAGAATAATCCAAAGCTCAAATCCCAAGTTAATTTGTGAGGGGACTAGTTGTTTAGAACTTTAAAATAAATGGTCATCTAAAATAGTAATTAATGACTGTCTACATCTGATTCGCCCGCTAAAATGAACTTTATTACCATTGCAAAGACAAAATGTTAAGATTAGTGATTAGATATTTGCTTGGAACCATGTTAAAACCCGTTGTTACCATAGATGGATGCTCTAATTGTCAAATAAAGTCTAGGAGGCTCTTTGGTTGTTGACTGGTTTGGCATTTAAAAATGACTCAAGAACAAATCGGTTGCATCAAGCATGCTAATGAGTGTATGTATGGGTGTAGTATTGAATTATTTTTGGGCAAAAGTAATGTAAATAAAAATTGTACATGAAATTAATTATGGGGGTAAAGTGTATTTTCCAAGAAATATAAATGAGTTTAATTTTTCTCATATTATAAGATATAAAATTTTATCTCTTACACACACGTAAAAACATGTAAGGTACATGTGAAGAGAAGAAAGAAAAAGAAAAAATATGAGTCCTACACATTTTTATATATGTGTATGAGATAAATTTATCTTTTATGATATTAGAAATAATAAACCCAATATAAATATATGGTAAACTTTCCCTGGTTCTAAAGACAAAATAGATAGCTGATAGCATTTTATGAAGTCATGATATGTTATGAAGATTGAAGAGGGATTCTTCATCTTTTAGTTGTACACTAGATTAAAAAAGTGTATACGGTAGTTTTCAAAAAAAATATTAGCATTAAATGAAGACCTCGCGGTCGTGATCATTTCATGTTTTCCTTCCTACTTTTGTTCCATTTCACACAAGTTTGTGTGCTAATAAACTAAAAGAAATGGGAAGAAAAAAAGAAAAGAATAGAAGAGAGAAATCAATGAGACCAAGGAATCACCGATCACGTCCTTCGTTTAGTAATAGTCATAGGATTAACATCGATCATTTGCAATTCCAAAGTAAAATTTGTCATATATGTGGCAAATTGGTGTGCATAAATAGTATTGCTTACATTTACATAACACCAATAAAGCTCACTCTCACACTCACTTTTTCGTTTGCATGTGAGTGTGTGAGACCAATGACTTTTGACCACTGTCGGTGGAACAGCTAAGGAATCTATGCACAAAAGGGTTTGTCCTTAACACCCTAACCATTCAACGCCACCAAATTTACCTTGAATTTTCGCTTTCCTCGTAACACAACAGAACATAAGACGAAAACAAGCAGAAAAATAAAAGCGACCAAATACTGTCTCTTACTCCAAACATAATTCCCTGATTCTCTCTCTCTCTCTCAAAGGGATCCCAATGTTGCACCCCACCACCACCAACCACCATTTCTTCATCTGAAAGCCTCTTATCAGTCAAACATCTATGTCCCTTTACACTACTGATTGCTATACAAACAGAAAGAAGATATCTTTGGGATGGATGTGAGTAGGAGAAGAGTTGGGGTTAGATGCAGTGTGGTTGCAGGGTCAGTGTGGGAGAGCAGGATGAAGAGTGATGAAATTGAAGGTGGAGTTAAGGTCTTCAGTGGAGAAGAAAATGCTGAAGAAAGAGGGGTTGGTGGCAACAGATTGAAAAGAAACCAAATTGGGGGTGTGGTTGCCACTGGAAAGAGAAAGACTTGGAAATCAGAATTGGATAAGAGCCAAATTCAAATAGCCAGAGGAAAATCAGAACCACACAAGAACAGTGGGGAACAGTGTAAGGACCTGAGCGTTTCTTCTGATGCAATCAAGAAGAGCCCTATTAAGGTGAGGAAGCTTAAGACTGAAGGAAGCAAGGAGATTGGTGCTTCTGCAGATAAATTTGAACGAAGCTCAATTCACAAGGTGGGTGAGTGTCCTGAAAGGCTCGGAAAGAGAAAATCAGATCCAATTAAGACTGAAAAACAATCTGTTAAGAATGTTGCTGGTTTTTGTGATGGAAATGGGGAAAATACAATCCAGCTGAGGGAGGAAAAATCAGAGTTTGATCAAGTTTTGGATGAATCAAGGATTGAGAAGGATGATATTGATGAAAATTCCAAGGATTTTGGTGCGTGCCAAGACAATGTCATTTCAAGCAGTTCAGACAATGCGGGTGTGGTCAAGTGTTCACCAGTGCATGTTGATGGAGATTCTGATGATTTTATTGATGATGAAGCAGATGAAGGGGAAGAAAAAGAAGAAGAAGAGGAACTGATGGAAGAGGATGATGAGATTGATATTGAGATGGAGAAGAGGAGCTTTGATGTTAAGGAAATCAGTATACCAGAATCCAAGGTTGTGAATGAGCCAGAAAGGAAGGTGGTTGTGAATGAAACAGGAAAACACAAGATTGTGAATCAACAAGAATCTAAAAAGGCTGCGAATACCAACACACGATATCATCAAAAAAATGAAAGGCCAGTGTCTGTCCCTCTAACTGTGAAGCAATCTCCTCCAATTAAAAGGCATTCGACAATTTACCAAAATTTCTCCAAAGCTGATTCAAGTAAGGTCATTTGAATTTCACAGAATTTTCTTCCTTTAATCTGATTTTTGGGATTTGTGTTTATTTTAATCAAGGCTAACTGATCTTTACTATTAAGTTCCAAAGGCAGAAGAATACCATAGCTTTCCACAAACCCAAAACAAATTGCAGACTTTAGGTAATTTATCTACATTTCAGAATTATGCAAGAGTCAAATTTTGTTGGAAACTTTACATTCTTTATATGTGTCACTCCTCAGTGGATTTAATCATGTGGAGAGATATCTCAAGATCAGCATTTATCTTTGGTATTGGAACATTTATTATAGTTTCATCTACTTATGCAGAGGATATCAATCTGAGGTTAGAAATCCACACTACACATAGTTCATTTTATATATACTCTTTCTCTATTTTTGAAGAGAACCCAGAATTAACACTTCTTGATTCTTCTTTGTACAGTCTTATTTCTGTAATGTCCTATATGGGCCTTGTCTATTTAGCTGTCATCTTCCTCCATAGATCACTAGTATGCAGGTAAAAACCCCAGTGCAGAAGTTAAAAGTAAATGACAAAAAATTATTATAGGATAATGAATACTCTCTCTGATTCATTTTTTTTAATTATTATTTGAATCAAACTATTCAGGGGGGTCATTGATGTAAAGGACACAAATTATGTACTGGGAGAAGAAGAAGCGATTTGGGTACTAAAATTGATCCTTCCTTACTTGAATGAGTTCTTGTCAAAACTCAGAGCCATGTTTTCTGGAGATCCTGGTACCACAATAAAGGTATTTCCTTTGCTCACTGATCATATGATTTCTTCTTTTTTTCTTTCCCTTTAACTTCTTCACATTAAGAACTCTTGGTACTCTAGAAGAAAAAACCCAAGATTAAATTTTGGCAATGGTTTATGAATTGCAGTTGGCAGTTTTGCTCTTTGTTTTAGCCAGATGTGGCAGCTCCATAACCATTTGGAAGATGGTCAAATTCGGTAAGTTTATGATGGTTTGATTTATAAGTTTATTGCACTGAAGTAGGACTCATATAGTCCTTAAATGTGAGGGTGCCTAAGCACTAATATGCCTTTTAGTTCAGATCTTTTGAAACAACAGATGCACAACCAATTTTCATGTCAATACAAAGTTTCCTTCCCCTCTATTTTCCTTTCTTTTTTTTCAGTTACTTGAATTTGTTCTCTCACTGCTGCAGGCTTCTTCGGAGTTTTTACAGTGCCAAAAATATGCTCCTCGTATTCTGCACAGTTAACTGCATATGGTAAAATCCTAAATTTCATCTACCTTTGATATTAGCATCATTTGAATTCTTGCTTTAGGACACTAAACAATAAGATATGTTAAATAACACAGTAGAGTTTGCATTGGGTAGCTGCTGATCCATTTGCTCCTTTGTACCATTAATTTGATTTTATGGTGTGGTGTCTCCGATCCACCATAGTAGATTCGGTGGGTCCTATAAAGAAAAAAAGATTAATATAAATATAAGGTCCAATTATATCACCTCCAACGACATATAATTGAACTCTAAACCTGCTTTAAGATTTTGGCTCTTTTTGCAAAGTTAAATGTGGATGAAGAGAATTCAAGATATTCAATGCATAACTCCTAGGGTAGCTCAGTTGGCAACTGAGCACCCACCTAGGGATTTGCATTGGTCAGGGTTCGATCATTGGATAATGTAAATTCTTATAATCCTTTGGGAGTTAGGAGAAATATGTCTCCTCTCCGAAAGGGGATTAGTTTCACTCTTTTTTCGGTGACAAAGTCCAATGCATCTGCTGTTTCAACGAGGAGCTAGCAGTCTTATTCTTCTGATAATAAAGTGGCTAGACAAGATTGTGTGGGATACCTCCTACTTATCCACTAAAAAAATATATATATGTATATATTCAATGCATCACATGGACGAGCATCTTTGTATTTTATTCTCCTCACAACTTTGGCCCGATTAGAATTATTAGACTAGGGAACACAATTATGAGATAATAATAAATGGCCCTCCACATCCCTGGTGGTCCCCACCCTCAAAGTCTAAGCCTCCAAAATAATCTCTTACCTAAAGTGGGCCTCCGCTAGCTTCAAGTGGATTTCCATTACTGTGATGATTTTTTTTGTTTTGTAAACTATCTTAATCTTATAATTCTTATTCCAATCTCATCACTCGAGTTTTCTTAATGTGATGATTGATAACTTATTTTTTCTTTTAATTATATGAAGCAAATTTTTGGATTCGTCGATTCCGGGATGCTTGGGATTCATGTTCCCACAAAAAAGCCGTGGCTCTTGGCATCTTTGGCCTTGTATGGAATTTTTCATCAGTTGTTGCTCGCATTTGGTCAGGTAAGAGCACACTGCAGTTTTAAATGATGTTGGTTAATTAAGAGCCTTTGATTAATATTAGTTTGATATTATGGTAACTAGTTTTTTAGATGCGCCAGTGATACTCTCCATTCCAAGGACCAAAAGCTTTGTGCCTTGCACTTACATAAATTACATACTAATGAATTGTACACTTGCAGTGTTCGTACTATTTGTGGCCTTCAGGTATTATCAACAACATTATATGGTGAGAGATGAATGGGTGGAAGATGAAGCAGGATGTGATGAAACATGGCAAGAAACTTTTGAAGTTGAAGTTGGAGTTGGAATGCAGAGACAAGGGCGGGCACACAATTTCTGTGATTTAGAGAAAGTAAAGAAAGGATTCTGAAGTGTTTGTTGTAACACATTTACTGGGCTATGGGCATGATATATGCCATTTTTTTAGCTTCACATAGTATTTTCTCTTTTCTACATCCATTGTAAAATTTTGTTGTCATAATAAAAGGTTATTTTACTCTTCTTTTTTTAATAAAGAGAATCAACACGGTTCAAGAGGAAAAGGAAATAACCACTTGAACTTTTATGGTTTGCAATTAACATTCGTGTTTATTTATTTTTCTGCTCATGCCCATTGTTTTTTTTTTTTCTCCCCTTAATAGGGATGTTTATATTTATCACTAAACAGGTTTATCACTCTTACAATCATTTTAATCACCGTTGTATCATAATTAAATCTAATGGTTCCAATTAATTCTAATTTTTTTTTTCTCTCTCCCATCTTCAACAAGGATACTAGTATCTTCTCGTGTTCAAGAGAAAGCTTGCTCTATTTTGTATTGTGTGTAGTTAAAAAATACTATTTTATGTGAGAATACTTGTTTTTAAGCTGGAGTAACTTTGCAAGTCACATATCGTATCGTAAGGGTTCTGGTTTCTTTTCATCTACTTTTTATATTTGTTATTCAGAGTTTGTGGGTGAAATCCCTAGTCTCGTTTAGGTTGACCCTGTCCCTGTTGTTCAGCAGCTTGCTTTTGGTCGCGGCGGCGCTCCTCAGAGAATTGAAATATAAGAAAAAGAAAATTGGAACAAATCAATTAGGCATAAATGGCAAAACTCCAATTCTTGCTATTGCTCTGATTGGAACAGAGAGAATGGTTGAGAATAACTGAGACGAAGAAATTCGCAGACCTAGAGAGAAGAAAAAAGTGGACGAGAGAGAATGAGAAACTACAAAATTAGGACCATAAGAATCAATTGTGAGCCATTAGATTTAAAATTAATCTAAGGGTGATTGAGTTGGTTGTAAGAATGATAAATTCTTTTGCTAGTAAGTATAACCTCTCTTTCTTTTTTCAATTGATGGTATTTCATACTAAATGTGGTTCGGTTGTGAGCCCAATTCCCCCTTCGTTGTATAAATTTCTATATTTCTTCGACTTTATTTTAGTTATATATAGGAACGTGCATGGGTCGAACCGAACTGGATTTTATGGGTCGAATTGAACTGAATTTTTTTAAAAATCGAACCGAATTGGTTTAAATGGTTCGGTTCGGGAGTGATTCGAAAGTGGTTCGGTTCTGTTTGGAATCGGTTCGGGTTTACCCTCTTTCGAAAAGAAAAAAAAATTAAAATTTTAAAAATAAAGTTATAAAAATCAATTTGGTTCGGTTCGAAAATGGTTCAGTTCGAAAATGGTTCGGTTCGGTTCAAAATGGTTCAGTTCTTAAACTGGTTCTAAAAATCGATTCGGTTCATGAACTGGTTTTTAAAAATCGGTTATTTTAATGGCAGTTCGGTTTGGTTCACGGTTCGGTTCAGTTTTTGTTTATTTTGCACACCCCTAGTTATATGATTCTAATTAGTCCAATGACAATTGGAATTGGACTGGATTACATATGGTAGTTCCTAGTCCACTTGTCGTCTGGGTATTTTCTAGAGTTGGTGATGCAAGGGGGAGTTTCCATGAGGTGATCTACAATTCTACGATCTGTTTGGTGGGATGGATGTCACGTGGCTAATATGCGTAGTTTGGGGCGATTGAGGGAATGTACTTAAAAGATATTTTGACACTCAAGTCAGTATGTGAGTGATAAGTTTCAATTAAGATGAGAAAAATGATCATAGCTGAGCTTCAAGCCTCTGTTTATATAGTAGTTGAGCATCCTGCTTATGTTGCTTTAGATCAGTATAATGACATTTAATCTCATTAGTGCACAGAGGTGGCTCTTGCAGGTGAACCCGTATGTAAGATGTTTATTTGCGAGCTATACTATATAGGTGCATCTAGAAGCATGTGCTTATCCTTTAATCATTGGCTATTTAAGGAAGTCGTGGAGTTCTGGGATGTTGATGTTGTGTAGCCACAATGGAATAAGTTGTCGATATCGTGTTTCAGATTACCTATGCGATTGCCAATGTAAGGGGAATGAATGTGTTTCCTTAACCTTAGGGGTGTGAAAAAACACATAAATAAAATAAAATGAATTGAATTAAAAACTGAACTAAGGGTGTGTTTGATATGAGCTTTTGGTTTGAAATGTTGGGAAAGTAGGGGTGGGATATTTTTTTCCCATATTTGATATGGGTGAAGGGGAATAATCCGCTTACAATTTTTTTTTACAAATTACATTAAGTATGACCGGTCATATTTAATGTAGTTTGTAAACAAAAAATTTGTAAATATAACCTCCCCATTGGTGAAAGTAAAAATAATCCCAACAAAATTTTATCCCCATCTTTTTTTTTTATCTACACTTTCCTAAAAAATATTACCAACTCAACCATGGTTTATTTTTTTCCCACTTACGCGGAATCGCACAACAAAATATGGAGACAAAATTGCCCTCATTAATATATCTCAAGTAGGGGTGAAAGTAGGCTGGGTCGAGCTTTGCTCCAAAAAACTCAAGTCTATGTCAACAAATTTCAATTTAGCCTGGTCCGAGTCTAACTGTTAGCCTGTCTTGACCCGTTTATAAGAAAAACAAATGGCATGGCTTAGCCCATTAGCATGTTAATTTTTAACTTCCAAGCAGAACCATGAATCAACTTCACAAAATACTCAAATTCTGTTTCTAAAACAAAAATCATAATTTCAACGTCCAAACAGAAACATGAATCACAACAAAACTCATCACAATCTGCATTTAAGTCACATTCAAAAGCAAAATGCTCAAACTAAATAACATATATTTCATTAGATTCAACAAACAAATCTTTACCGTGTAAATTAAAATAACTACATAAATCCAACAAACACATCATGATGCTTGTTATAGCCAAAAATTTATCTTCATCTTCTCTCTCCTACAAATACAATTCCAGCATTACATAAGTAAGCATCAATAACTCTTATTCCAGCACTAAATGTTGATTTTGATGGTATTGTATATATTGGTAAATATCTTATGCCACTCTCAAAGATAATATTTGTGAGGGAACGAACCTAACTCTTTCACCACCTATTTAATTCACATGTACAACTGAACTATCATTATTTGGTACTACTATGAATAATACTTTTTTATTTAATTTAAAATAAATAATATGATATAGGCCGTCATGTAAACTTATAGGTCCGGTTTATAAAAAAAAGCTTATCACCTATTTTTTAAATAGGCTTATTTAAAAGCTCGAATCTGTTCTATTTGACTATATATAATACATCAAACCCGACATAATATAAGCTTAGGTTATTTAAAATTCCGGGCCTGATTATAGGTTAGGGCATGTAGACTGGCCCGACCGACTTTCACCCCCTAATCTCAAGACATGGTGTAAAACAAGATTCAAACCCTCACACAACCTTGTTCTTCGTCTCCGACTCATTCATCTCTGCGGTGTGGCTCGTAGGTAGGAACGACCCTCGTTTCTGTGTACAACCAACCTCGTTTTGTGTCAAGAATTTTTCTTCCTGTCGTGGTTTATTTACTTTCATTTGACATTTATCAGGATTACGGCAACAAGTTTAGGAGCATCTTCGAGCTTCTCACCTCTGCAAAGGACACCGTGGTGCTTCTTATTTGGTACGAACTCTTTGGTCTGTTGCATTCTGACTTTGCATCTCAAGTCCTTCCTTTTTTTCCCCTTTGTTTCATCTTTGAAGTGTGAAGTCCGAACCTCTAATTTGTTCTTCTCCTATTAAGTTTTTTTTTTTCTTAGTTTTTTTGTTCTTGTATTTTATTCACCACAATGTTTTTCTGATTTATGTTATTTGTCTCCATTGTTGATGCCTTGAAACCTCGTTTCGCTGGTGACGCTTCCACAGTACAGTGTTCTCTCTCTCTGAGGTATTCTTCCTATCCCTTTTCTAAGGTCCATGGTTATTTTTTCGTTTTTTAGTGTGAAATATGTTGTCTGTCTTCGTGTGTATTTTTTTTTAATTTCTTTGAATGTGGTTTGGGGTCGATTCCTGGTTTTGGGTGGGTAAGATGAATGTTGTGTCAGTTACATTAATTTTCCATTGCATGTTCTTCTTCAGGTTTTGCGCTTTCCTTGTTATTCTAACTGTAAGAGCTTTGCTATAAAGAGCTTTGTTATTATATGGTGGAACGAGCTTTGTTATTCTAAAACATTTTTTTAGCCTGAACTAATTTTAATTTTTTTTAAAAAAATTGGTTCTGAACCGGTTCAAAGCAGTTTGGAACTGGTTCTGAACTAAACTGATCCTCATTTATCAGTCCTCAAGAACACTCTAACCTAAACTCTCTTCCGTTCACAAACCTTAACTTCGTTTGGATATAATCATGTGACCAATTTGTTCATACAGTTCAATTAATTCTCAGAATCACGTTCATGGTTTGCGATTTCACTGGAAATAATTCATTATTCGTGAATCGTTCTTCCTTCTTTGCTTCAATCTTTCGTTCACAAAGGTGCGTTTTTAACTATATATTTTGGGCCAGTAGACGAACACCTTTCGGGCAGAAATGATCAAAACCATGCATGATTCCACTTGTTTTTAAGGCCCCCAAAATATGCATTCGGGTCCATCTTTGGTTCATAGATATAAATGTTAATTTTCATTGCATATATGCATGAGAATTATGTTTCTCATGTTGCATGAAACAATCAAAATTATTTCATGTAACACAAAAAGTAGGTGAGAGTGAGACTCACTTGTTCTCTCTCTTTTTTCTCCTTAATGGTTCCCACCCATTTTTGTGTGTATTGCATGAGACAAATAATTTGTCATAAGAAACACTTTCTCCTGTATACATAGAGAGTTTGATGTTTCTCATGTTATAGGAGATAAAATTATCACCTACATACACATAAAAGTGTGTGGGGCTCATGTCGGGCCATGTGAAGAGAAGAGAGAGAAAAAGAAAACATAGCGCCACCCACTTTAATGTGTATGAGAGAGATAATTTTATCTCCCATAATATGAGAGACAATAAACTCATACATATATAACTATGCACGTACTGTGAGAAAATTGCCAAGATGGTGTTTATCATGGGTGAGATTTGAGTCCCCAAGTGACATGTAATTATTTTATTTCTTCTTCTTTTTGGAAAGTCGGTGAAAGAGCTGAAATAGACTATTTTGCAGGACTTGGAGAAACATGGTGTGTCACTAACACAGTATCCTCTCCTCAAAGTGTTTGAATAATTTACCACTGTATAAAGAAAAGAACTATATAAAGTGTTCTAACAACCTCGTCCATAGACATGGTTGGTTTCCTCTCTTTCTACCCTTTGTTGTTTTGGTTTTATGTTGTTCCCACCTCATGTTATTTTGTGTGTGTTTTGTTTCCAGGCTACACTTGCTGATTCTTTTCTTGCCGACCTTGATGAACTCTCTGATAATGAGGCTGAAATTACCGTGAGTATAATCTTCTTCTTTTCTGATTTTTTTTTTGATTTTAACCTGTAAAGTTTGATGAAATTGATAATTAATCTGGTTCCTTTTGTTTCAGGAGGATAATGATGTGGATGCTGCAGATATGGAAGAAGATATTGATGGAGATCTGGCTGACCTAGAAAACCTCAACTATGATGACTTGGACAGTGTTTCAAAGTTGCAGAAAACCCAGAGATACATTGATGTTATTCAGGTTAGTTAGTAATCTTTTTCTTTTGAGTGGGTTTTAAATTGAGGTTGTGGATGGTGGAGCATTGCATTAGTTGTGGTAGAATCTAGAATAAGCTGCGTATTAGTTGCAACTGAAGCTTTTAACATCCTTCTAATTGCTTTTTGTTGTAATATTACTGTTTGTTTCCTTTCTCTCCCATGCCTGCTACTTTATCATTATCTCGGAGGTTATAATTTATTTGGATGTATATTGGGCGTGTAAATAAGGGCTAATGTTATTCTTTATGGCAGAAAGTGGAAGAAGCGCTTAAAAAGGGTTCAGATGTCTCAATTCAGGGTGTAGATTTAGAAGATGATCCTGAATATCAATTGATTGTGGAATGCAATGCGCTATCAGTTGACATTGAGAATGAAATTGTTATTATTCACAATTTTATTCGTGATAAGTATCGCTTAAAATTTCCAGAGCTTGAGTCGTTGGTGCATCACCCGATTGATTATGCACGTGTTGTGAAGAAGATAGGAAATGAAATGGATCTGACTCTTGTTGATCTAGAAGGGCTTTTACCCTCAGCTATTATCATGGTTGTGTCAGTTACTGCATCGACTACTACTGGCAAGCCACTTCCAGAAGAAGTCCTTAGTAAGACGATTGAGGCCTGTGATCGAGCTCTTGATCTTGATTCAGCAAAGAAAAAAGTTCTTGATTTTGTTGAGAGTAGAATGGGGTACATTGCGCCTAATCTTTCTGCTATAGTTGGAAGTGCTGTTGCAGCTAAACTCATGGGGACAGCTGGTGGTCTATCAGCACTTGCAAAGATGCCTGCTTGTAATGTTCAGCTTCTTGGTGCTAAGAAAAAGAATCTTGCTGGGTTCTCCACTGCAACATCTCAATTTCGTGTAGGTTACATTGAGCAAACAGAAATATTTCAGACTACTCCACCTCCTCTGAGGATGCGAGCATGCCGACTCCTTGCTGCAAAGTCTACACTTGCAGCACGAGTAGATTCAATACGTGGGGATCCAACTGGGAGCACTGGAAGGGCTTTCAAGGATGAGATCCACAAAAAAATTGAGAAGTGGCAGGAGCCCCCTCCTGCTAAGCAACCCAAACCACTTCCGGTTCCTGATTCTGAGCCAAAAAAGAAGAGAGGTGGTCGTCGGCTTAGGAAGATGAAGGAAAGGTTAGTGTAGTATTAACTTGTCTGTACTTTTTTTTGGGTTGCAGGGTTGAGGGTAAATTTTCTGTTTGCCTTTTTTTTTAATAGTTCATGACCTGTTGATTATTATGTCAGGTATGCAATAACAGACATGAGGAAATTAGCCAATAGGATGCAATTTGGAGTCCCTGAAGAGAGTTCTTTAGGTAATTTTACCAGATTTCATTTTTCCTGATCTGATTTACATTTGTAATGCAATGTTTTTCTTTTTGATTCTAATTTGATACGTGCATTTATATTTATTATATTGAAATTATAGGAAATTAAGGATTGGATGGAAGGAAAAAGAGAGAATACACAGTAATTAGACTTGGAACAATTTTGATGTTGTGTTACAAAACCATGTGTTAGGCTATTAGTATATGTGAGAAATGTGAAGGATTAGAGGGAAAATAAGGGAGGGGGTTGAGAATATAACGACCTGCAAATGTGGCTGGTGGCAGGTGGAAGGGGGAAAATAATTGACATATTCTGTTAGGTTATTAGTATAAGAGAGGAGGGGTGAAGTAGAGAAAAGCAAGCAAGAATTGAGTAAGGGAAGCAGGAGGAGAGACCAGGCACTCTCTAATTGCCTGGGTTATCATCATTGTTTTTACTTTGACTCTGTATTTTCTTCTGTATTACACATCAAAGATTCAACTAATCTTGATGTTACACTGATATTGAATCAAAATAGAAGATAATAGCTGTTTCTATCTTATTCTTATTGAATCTGGACTGATTACTATCTATTATTACTCCTATATACTAATAATAATTGATACAGTACGTTCATGTGAAAATTAAAACACAAAGGTTGAAGAAATTCTGATAATTTTGTTCAAACTGGAATGAAAATGTTTCAAACAGGAAGAATGTAAAGGCAGCCAACCCTATGTTGGGCCACGATTACAAATGACCTGTGAAGCACCAACACTGGTGTTTCTCTAAGTGTCGGAGCATTGGACATGCCTTTGGCATGATAAGAGTTTGACACCCGTATGACATGTGTTGGACATTGCTCAACCGGTGCAGTTAAATTTTTTGCCTACTTGGACGCATTAGACACGGCTTAGCCACTCCGCCAATACCCAAATATGGCTTGACACTTAACAGGACACGGCTATTGTAAAAAACTTTCAAAGATTTGTTTTTTATTTTTCAAAAGGAAATTAACTTTGAGAAAACAACTTAAAATATAGAAAAATAATAATAAAATATATGTAAAAGATTCTAAATGCTAACGAAACTTCTCCTAGAAGGACTCTTCGATTGTGGCTTATCCTTCCTAATTTGTGGCCTACTGCCCTACACTATAAAATGAAGCCTTTTAGTATTTTTTTGTGAGGGTCATTATCATAGAAAAAATGTAAAGCTTAGCTAGTTGTTTTGAGGTGAATGTATAAATCCCGCTTCTCAACTTAGATCTTGCTCATTAAATTTCACTTGACTTGCTCTCTCTCTTTACAAACACACACATTTTTATATATAGCCACGTCCTAGTGTCCTATATTTTGAACATTGGCCATGTCTCTTTGTCCGCTGATGTCCGTGCTTCATAGAAAATGAAAAATAGTCAAAATAAGGCATAAAATTATAAAAATGGTTAAAATCATGTTGAAACAGCATTTTGGGGTTGGAAACTACAACAATCATCCTGGTTGCCATAGCGACGGACTCATTTGGGCCTTTCCATTGATATTTAATAATAAACAAACAGCTTCTGAGATCAAAAGTTATGCCCAAGTAAAGTTAAGCCTACCATTTGGGCTTTATGTTGACCAACCTAATCCAAATATTCTGCTGTTACACGATTTTTTTGGTAGAATCTGCTGCTACACGTTCCGCATGAATAATTCAGGTCAAAGTACAAGTGTAGTAAAAGGGTAAACCTAGTACAAGCAACCAAATTGCTCTTGTAACAGATTAAGACTCCTTAAGTCCTAACACAGTGATAAAGACAGTCTGAAATCCTTTGGAAATTTAACTTCATCTTTCTTTCTTTTTTAATATTGTGAGCTTGTAAAATGTCAATATCTCCTTATTTGCTTAAAATTTTATGCTTATGCATTACAGGGGATGGTCTGGGTGAGGGTTATGGAATGCTTGGTCAGGCTGGCAGTGGCAAGCTTCGTGTGTCAGTTGGTCCAAGCAAACTTGCTGCAAAAGTGGCTAAGAAGTAAGCCCTTGTTGTTGCCTTTAGTTCTACATATCTTATTATGTTCTTCTTATATGATTGTGTTACAACATGCTGAATCTTCGTTCCTGTCTCAGTTATACTATTTACCTAATTGATCACATCACAATGACAATTCTGAGGGACTATTTTCATTTGTCAGATTCAAGGAAAAACAGTATGGTAGCAGTGGCGCTACATCTGGTTTGACCTCAAGTCTTGCATTTACACCAGTGCAGGTTAGCTTCACTTTTTACCAACTCTCTAGATTTTCTTCTGCTCTTTAGCTCCATAACTAGTGTAGAAATTGTTAATTTTGCACGAAAATGTTTATGGGAAGCTTTTAATGGAAACATTGTAAAGCATGAGAAGCTAAAAAGAAAATTTAGGGACAGAAATCAGCGGGTTGCTTCCTTACTGCTATTGTGGCAGATTTATAAGACACCTATGAAGTAGTCAAGCAGATATAGAGGTGTTTGACCATTACAGGAGCTGGGAGAGCAAGAATTGATATAAACTTTGCATTGCCCTGCATATAATTTCATAGTATTCCTAGGGTGCTTAAACACAATCTGCACTCCTCATCTATTCTCATCCTTTATTTCTTTTTTTCTCCCTACTTTTTGGCAGTATATTTTTGGCTGGATAACCTCTTAATGTAACAGAAATCATCATCATTAATTTTGATATGGAAACCTCCTGTCCTTCACTCTTTTGTTTTTTCTTTGGGTAAGTTGATGGAGAGTGTTGTTGAACCCATATTTTCATATGGAATGTATCTGTGCAAGAAGGGAGGATTTTGTGTTGATGGGATAGGTAGGGTTGGTGAAGTCTACTGATAGAAACGCACTCTGATATTGCAGAATACATAGGATTTATCTAGATACTTCCTTGGGTTAGCTTCCTTCCAAATCCCACTCCTCAACTGAATTCTTGTTTACCCTTCTCCCACTTTCTCCTCTTATATATCCCCCTTCTGCTATGACAGAATGCCACTATGCCTTTCTCCTCTCTGCAGCACATGTCTAGGTAGTTACAAGAAAACCCCCAATGGATGTTCCTTTCCACCTCACTGCTCTTGTTCATGTGAATCATTAGCCCCCAGCATTTCTCTGTATTTCTCCTCCTATATACTCTAGTAATAGAAGGGCACTTGTCAATACTAACCCCCAAAAGATTCGCCTTGTCCTCAAGTGCTTCTGCTAGGGAAAATTCACCGGGGTCCCTTTGTTCGAACCATAATGGTCGAGTTCCAAATTTCTTGTAAACCTCTTTTGCACCACTAACAGTTGCGGTCTTGCACCATCCATATAAGCATGCCCATTTCCATTATGCTACCGAGAGCAAGAGAATATTTGTAGACATACTCAGCAGATCATTAGAAAGTACTCTGAAATTCTGCAGAATATCAGTCAATCCTTTCTTAGAATCATATAGTTCTGGTGCTAAGTGTTGTGTTTGATATGATCAAAATAACAAGGTTCGACCATTTGAATTCTCCGATAGAAACGCACCAATCACTATACTTGCCATGCTTCTCTTTGGTTCTTTGTTGGAAAACCTGAACCAGGTTCGACCATTTGGATTTAGGAGTGGGTTTGCTGCTGGATGTTCCAGATGCTGGATCAATATTGCCATCTGTATCCAATTGAATAGGATCTACTCGAGGAGGTGCTAATTTGGTTTATATGCATTGCAAACCTGAGAGACCATCAAAATAATTTGAAGGGAAAAAGATGGCAAAGCTTGAGGGTGATATGGTCAGCAAGTTTTCCTAATATTTATGTAGCTTTAGAAAGAATGTCTGCATGCATCATGTTTGGCTTTGGTAAAAATGTGGTCAAACTGAAGAATGCTTTTCTTAACCTTGCTTTAACAGTAGTTTAGGTTCCTTAGTGATCATAATATGCTATATAGACGGTTGTAACGGATCACCCTTGATCTAGAAGCAAGATAATTGGCTGAGATCCAATTTACTTAGGAGAACCACCATAGCTACATACACCAGTGCTTAGTTAATTTTTCCTTATTGCACTCTTTTATTTTCCATCAGGTTTTTGTTATCACAAACCCCATGGGTATATGTATTGGACTGATTATTGAGAAGGAATATAGAGAAAATTGCCAAATCTCTTCTCTCCCTGACACCCTGTATCTCCTCTCTCTCTCTCTGTTTTCCTATCATTCTTCTTCTAATTTCCCCCCTCTGTCTCTAAAGCTGGTAGCAACCCGCTACAATAGTGCTTTCATCGAGCTACTCTTCCTCCATGGCTAGAAGTAACATTCATCCTCTTCCACAACAAATCACTGATCCCCAATCTCACCTACCATTACATCATGCTAGGATACTATCACTGTAGCACTTCATGCAATCGACCAATCCCTTACAAAATCGCATGCTGACTTTGCAAGGGCTACGGCCGACATGCGAGCTGATTTTGCACGGGTTCGAGCTGCGATGCGAACAAATTTCGCAAAGATTAGGGCTGATTTCGATGCAATTTGAGTTGATCCGGAAGATATAGCTGCTTTTAGGATTCAAAGGATATTTCGTGGATATCTAGTTAGATGTCACCGATTAGTGAAACGTGAAACCCTTACGACTACAAACCAATGGACGACGCCCCTCCCACAATCGACGAGCATGCCCACAAGCTTTGCAGTAGCTCCGATTGGTGGAGCGTCTTTTGCCTCCATGTCGTTTGATAGATCATTTGTTGCTAAGGGAACACCCTCGCCCATTGCAGATCCTGATTTTTATATCTCAGATGTCCCAAACCACCCTCGTCCATTGCAGGTTCCTGCATTTGAACCCCCTGTGTACGGTGTTGTTGCTCCACGCTCTGAGATCTTTGGTGTTGTGGTTCCCTACACACTGAGTGCTAAGCCACCCTTGCCTAAGTCACCAGATTCAACTTGTGCAAGGGTTTGTGACCCTAATTTGGCTATGCAGAGATTATCTTGTTATACACACCATATGTTTGTTGAAATGGTTGACCATGATGATACCTCTAACCTCACGCTGCTACACTCCAATTGGCAAAATACAGAGCTGCTGTTCAAAGACAAGCCTCTGCCTCAACTATTGATGCATATGAAAGAAGCATACAAGGAAGCCAGGGAGTAGTTCTGCTCACAAATTTGAAGATTTACTGATGTTGACAAGCAAACCAGCATTTGCATTAACAGGTGTGATGATTTGATGAGAATTTCTCTGTATATTGCTGCAGAGGATGATTCTATTGTATCACATTCGCCAAAATATTTTGCCGGCGATTATTCAAGTCAGCTTGTGGAAACCTTGGAGTCAAGTGTCAGTCTTAGCTTCCATGAGTACTCCATAGATGTGTTTGCCGAAACACTTCCTAAACATTTTTCTCTGGTACTTGATATTGCTAGTGATCTTACATGGATTCAACGTGTTTCTTGTTATGCTTGTTTTGAACAAAATGGACCATATTATGATCCTACAGAGTATAGTTCTTTCAAGAATATAAGTTGGCATGATCCTCGGTGTCAATTGGGTTCATCCCCAGATCCCCCTCATCCTTGCAAGAGTGAGAATCAAAGTTTTCCATACTTCTATTGGTATGGTGATAGCCCGAGTATAACTGGGGATTTTTCTCTTGAAAATTTCACAATGAATAATACAACACCTACGGGAAGACTGAATTGAAGCTTGTTGAGAATGTTATGTTTGGTTGTGGTCATTGGAATAGAGGTCTATTTCATGGGGCTGCTGGATTGTTAGGCTTAGGGAGAGGGCCATTCACATTTGCTTCTTGGCTTCAATTTCTTTATGGTCATTCTTTTTCCTATTGTCTTGTGGATAGGAATAGTGATTCAAGTGTTAGCAGCAAATTGATATTTGGTGAAGATTCTGCAATCAACTGGTTGGTAAGCATTAAAACCCGTCAGCATATATGGAGGGAGTGGTGTGATGCTCGTGGTCTAGAATTATTTGCAAGTAAATTATATAAAGAAGTCATGAATGCTGTGTGTGAGAAAATGGGAGTCCAAACTGAGATTGATGCGGAAAGGTTCAATAATGCAATTCTAAGAAAAGGGTGCCATGAAATGGGATATCCTGTGAGTAATATTCCTAAGAATGCTCCACCAGATCACTATTGTGGCTGGTGTAACATGGGATGCAAGGATGGAAGGAACAAATCTACATCAGAAACATGGCTTGTTGACTTGGTGAAATCAGGTAATGGTGTTATCTTTCCTATTTGTGAGGCTATACAAGTCTTACATAAGGAAAAGAAAGGAGGAGACAGACGAGTAGCCTGTGGAGTGGCTTTTGCAATTGAATACAAAGGAAACAAAAGCATTTGTGTGGTGGAGCACTCAGTAGTACTCCAACATTACTTAAAAGAAGTGGCTTGAAGAATGAAAACATTGGGAGACACATCTTCATCCGGTGGCAATGACTTGGGGCTACTTCCTAGATGCACCTTCGTCACCGGAAGTGTGGCCAGAGGAACATAAAAGAAGCTATGAAGGAGGGATTATGACAGCTATGTCCACCGTTGTTGCAGAGATTGACAAATCAGGGTACGGTGAACTGATCCAAACACCTATATTCAATCCTGGTATGTTCTCAATTCTAATGCCATGGATTTCCGGAATGAATATTACAGATAGAATGTGCAAGTTTTCTAGAACAGCTCATGTTTTTGCACTGGCAAGGGATCAATGGTCAGGAACTGTGAAGTCACCTAACTGTGCAAGTTATCAAATGAAAGATGTAGACAACGAGAATTTAGAGAAAGGAATTGAGAAGGTATTGAGAATTCTGGCAGCAACTGGAGCTGAAGAAATTGGAACACACAATAATAAGGGAAGGAGCTTAAATGTTCAGCAAATGAGCTATAATGAATTTGAGAAATTTGTGAAAGAAGAAAGTCCAAGGCCCTTAACGGACCTTTCAACACCTTTATGCTCAGCACATCAGATGGGAAGATGTAGGATGAGTACTAATCCAAAGAACTCAATTGTGAACCAGATGAGGGAGACATGGGAAGTGGAGGACCTTTATCTTGCAGATTTTCATTACTTGTGGATTGGAAAGCAGTACTCAAAGATTCATCTTTTTGAGGAACGCATTGATAATATAATTTGCACTACATTTGCAACTCAGAAGAGTGAGCTACTAAATGCTAGACCTGTTCTAGAGTTGGCTCACATGTCTGAATATTTTTTTCCGGATTCAATTTCTATTTGGGATTTTCTAAGAGACTTCAGATTTATGAAGGTTCACATGGCCATTGTTTGCAGCAAGTATAGTGGAATCGTAGGTTTTGTAATTCTGGATGATATTATTGAAGACATTGTTGGTGACATCTTTGATGAAAATGATTCGAAGGTTTACAAGGGAGTGAAAATATGCCAGAGAGGTTTCATTGGTATCAACATTGATAAACATGCTGCAAAATTCAGGGAAGACTTTTCTGGTTATTGCAATGAGATTACTTTCAGTATTCCTTTTCATATACATGCTGGTTAGGCATGCTACTCAATTCTATATTCACTCAAGCTCAACATCAGCTCAAAGGTTTGTCTTTGACCCCAGTGGACATGACATTCAACCTCGAGGACGAGGTTGGTTTGAAGGGCGATGGAATGTAACGGATCACCCTTGATCTAGAAGCAAGATAATTGGCTGAGATCCAATTTACTTAGGAGAACCACCATAGCTACATACACCATTGCTTCGTTAATTTTTCCTTATTGCACTCTTTTATTTTCCATCAGGTTTTTGTTATCACAAACCCCATGGGTATATGTAGTGGACTGATTATTGAGAAGGAATATATGAGAAAATTGCCAAATCTCTTCTCTCCCTGTATCTCCTCTCTCTCTCTGTTTTCCCCATCATTCTTCTTCTTTTTCTTCTTCTAATTCCCCCCGTCTCTAAAGCTGGTAGCAACACGCTACAACGGTTGTGTAATTATACCTTGTTATTATTATTGTAGCGCACGATTTCTGATAAACAAGTACAACTGTTTTGTACCCTCTTTTTTTAATGGCTGGTTTTTTCCTCTCGCGTTACTAGATGCATGGTCACATTTCAATTTGCTTTTACAGGATGTATATTGGATAGCACATAGATATTTCCTTCCGTATTAATTAATAAATATCAATCACTTTAACTGATATTTAGTATGGATGATGGAATATTTGGTTTTGAATTCAAAGCGCTTTTAGCACAATAACTCAACTTTAGTTAATTAGTTTTTATTCTATTGAAGTTTTGCATTCTTGTTCAATTATTCATTCATTTTTTATTTTTCAGGGGATTGAGCTGACAAATCCACAGGCTCATGCACACCAGCTTGGTAGTGGAACTCAAAGCACCTACTTCTCTGAAACGGGAACATTTTCAAAGATCAAGAGGACTTGAAGCCATGCATGAATACGGATTCTTGTTCTTTCTCCTGAATTATTCCGGTAGACGTACGAGGAAATTGTTGATGCTGATGAATGTCGCTTGAGCCATATATGCTGTTCGATTATGGGAAGTTGGTTTCATCTTCAGGGAACTCGGTAGATGTTCACTTGTTTAACTTTTGTAATAATGCCTTATAATTTGTTCCTTTTCGCAGTAATAGAGAAAATGATTATCAGTCTAGACCAACTTTTCATGCCTTATATTACTTTCATCACTTATATTCTCCCTTGTTTTTAATTTTTTTTTTATTCAAGCCCGTCTACATTTTGATCTATAAATGTGAATATGTCAAAATATTTTTCAGTCACAATATATAATCCATTTCCCCCCCTCCTTTTTGTATAATTTCTAGCTTCAGAATCACATAAATATGCAAATTTGCAAAATGAACGTTGGTTTTTTAATCTTCATCGTCTTACTCTGATGTGTAGAATGTGAATTTGCTCAATATCACATTATTACCATGAGAATTCTTTGCCCTGATAAACTCTTTATAGGATTGAAGAAAATTGAAATTCAAGTTTGGTGTTTGAGAATGAGGTATATTATAGGAATAGGACTGTAAGAGGGGGATCCAACGATTCGTTTACTGCTAATGGGAAAAAAAAATGGACCGTTTATGCCATTTTAAAGAGTGTTTAGGTTGATTTGATTGAAAAAAAATCACAAGTGATTTAAAAATTTAGGGAATAAATAATTTTAGAAAAATCCATATTTGAACTTTACCCTATATATTATTAAGAAATAAAATTTTCAGCTTTCCAAAAAAAAAAAAAGTGGTTTTCCAATAAACAATCTAGGATGAGCCCTTTGTTTGTCGGTGCCTCATGAGGTCACCTTTGATTGGCATTATACTCAGGCATAGTCTCTAATTAGATTCCTCACTTTAATAGGCACATCGACTGTCTATATTTGCTTAAAGTTGAATTTGCTAGTAAGCGATTAAGGACAAAGATTGCCTGAAATAGCTTTAAGGATTAATTGGGTCTTTAGGTGTCTTGTTCTTGTATTAGTGTTTGTAAAAGAGACTATGCCTCTATTAATTCAATAAATACAGGTTTCATCATTGTGACAAATAGAATATAATGAAAAAGTATGAGATAAATTATCATTGAATCAAGGGGATTATGAATGTTATGTCACATGAGGGAGTTTTTTCGTCCCATAGATCTCTGCCGCATGTTACAAGAGCCCAAATGTGACATGACATTCATAAATCCTTTGAAACAAATAGAACATAATGAAAAAGACAATTTTGACAATGATTTGGAGCAGTAATATAGTCCTTAAAATCAGCCCACTGGGTAGCCCAACTCGTCAAAGCCCACTACGAATAATAACCAAAAAGCAAAAGAGGCCCAAGTTGAAGCTACTGGTACACGTGTCCTTACCCTTGAATTCTTCGTCCGGAAACATCCTTCGTTGGTTTCGTTGAGGTTCTCTCTGCTGGGACACATGATTTAGCTTAGAAAATTATTCTAAGAGTGTGTATTGGATTGAGATTCGAAAGAATTTTAATATATTGTTTTTGGACAAAAATATCCGTTGGTATTTCATTAGGATTTTAAAGGATTATTTTAGAATCCGTTGGTATTCAATCAGTATTTTAAACAATGGAATCACAATCTCGTGGTATTTTAATGAATTTTCTATTGGAGTAGATTTCGTGAGACATTTTAGTTAAAAATATAAATAGGATGTCTCTCTCACAATCTCACCCTAACCCCTAGGATTTCTTGAGATTCTTCTTCCTTTGACAGATTGACGGTTCGAAATTGGTTTCCACCATGTTCGTCAAAACTAAAAAAAATATTTTTTAGTTCATCACAAAACAACCTAGAAACAACAAACCAACGGAATTTTAATATAATATATCTCAAAAATAATATATATTTGGAGCCATTTTTGAGAAATTTTGGAAGTTTAAAAGTGATTTTTCAGGCTATGGTCATGGTTTTTCTTGGCATAAAAACGTGTGATTTTTGTATTTAAAACAAAATAAAACAGTGAAAAAATAATAGGGGAACTAAAACCCTCAAACCAATTCTCATTTTACATCAACGAAAACATATCAATTTAAAGAAAAGATTGAAACTTTCATAATCTGAACCCTATATTTCGTAACAATACATTCTTGAACGAAATTATTTCACTATAGGAAATGAATTCAAACAAATTTTGTGTCAATAGTTAACTAAAAACTTGTTTCTCAAAAGCCCCAAAGCAATTTAAGGTTTCAATGTATCGATTGAAAAAAATTTAAGAAATTTTCTAAACTTTCATGTAATTAAATCCAAAATTTCACATTCGAAATTTTCTTAGAATATTCAACGAAAATATGCATATGATCTTTGGTTAGAAAACTCTTATCACGTAAAACAAACACCCCAAGATTTTCAAGATCAATTGCAAAAAATTCCAAATGAAATTTTGTCATATATATGCAAATTTAGAATTATTTTTATAATTAAAAAAGTGGGACTTTTTATCATATATGCATAGCTTTGATACCAAATGAAGAAGATAATTTTCAACCCATTAGATATGTGAAAATTTGTTGTTTAGTAATTTTGAATGTTTGTTAAAAATTATATTATGTTTTACTGATTGAGAAAATTATATTAGGTTTTACTTTTTATTTATTAATTTCATTGCATTTCTTTGTTATTTTTTTTATGGAGAAGATTATGGCTTTTTTGACCCTTTTGCCCTTTATTAATTAAAAAATAATCACTTTATTCTTGTCCTAAAATTATTTATCAATTTCCCCCTATTTAATCGATTATAAGACTTACTTAATCGATTAAATATTGAATTAAGATAGTAATCGATTAACAAACATGTTTAATCGATTAAATTTCGCGATACACAAAACACTTGCTTTTTTTCAAAAGCTCTCTCTCTCTCTTATCACTTTTTCTCGAAGATTTTGAAAGCTGTTGGTGGTGGTGTACTAGTGAGTTGTGACATTGTCCCTCTCGCTTTTTTCAAGTTTTTTCTTCTTCTCTTTCTGTCTTATTATTAATTTACAGGTATGCACATAAACACATGGAAACAAAATGTTTTAAGCTTTGTGGGTATCAAGATATATAGAGAGAGAGTGATCCATTGTTAAGCTCCTTATGTTAATTTGCGATCTGATTCTCTTTTTATTCAGTTCTGATATTGCTTTGAGTTTGCTGAACTAGGGTGGCTGATGCCAAAAGTGCATAGAAAAATGGCTAAATAGAAAGTTAGGATTTCACAAAAGAGTAATCCTCTGGTTCTTAATTATTGCTAAATATGGTAGGAAATTGGACCTTACTAGGGAGATAAATTGTAAACCTTATGATTCCCATCTCTGGAAAAGCATCAGTAAAATCTGGCCTAGTGCCTTAAAATCTTTAATTTGGCAAATTGGAGATGGTTCATCTGTGAATTTCTGGTGTGATAGCTAGACAAGTTTGGATCATAATTTATTATCTCTTGCTACATCTCCTCCTAGTCCTGAATGCTTATGTAAAAAGGCGGAGGATTATGTTGTTCCCAATGGTGGCTGGAATTCTGCAGCTCTAAGCAACTACTTTACCTCGGATATAGTAAATGTGATCATGGCAATTTCCCCCTTGATCCTGATGCTGGTTTTGATTATTTGTCTTGGAATAATTGGAATCCCAATCAATCTCTTGTCAACATTGCCTATAAGAATATCTTGAGGACTTCTGATATCACCTCTGATAGAGTTTGGGATAGAATTTGGAAGTGGAGAGGCCCTGAAAGAATAAAGTTTCTAATATGGAAATTGAGACGTGGCAGATTGCTAACAAGGGATAGAACTTCCAAGTGGGGTAATACTACTGATAGATGTCCTTTTTGCTATGACAAAGTGGAGGATCTATTACATGCTTTTTGGGACTGTCCTAAGGCATTTGTCATCTGGAATCTCAATCTGTTTCAACCCCTTCCCCCTAACTTTTTTGTTTGTTCTTCTTTTCAAGAATGGTTGAATATGAATTTATGCTTCACAAAAAGAAACAGGATAGACTGGAGAAACTATTTTTTCCTAGCCTGCTACTTTTTATGGACATGGAGGAATGCTGAAATCCATGAAGAGAATTTCTCTAGGCCTATTTATCCTGAGCTTTCTATATCATCCTTCCTAAATCAGATTAACTTGAGAAGAACTCATTATCTATGCAATAGCTGCGATACTGAGAATGACATTACCTCCTGGACCTGTCCTGATGTTGATACAATCAAGCTAAATGTAGATGGGGTTGTTTCTAATGATAAAGCTGTGTGTGGTGGTCTTCTCAGAGATTATAAAGGCATTTGGCTAGGTGGTTTTTCGTCCTTTTTGGGTTCTTGTTCCCCCCTTCTTTCTGAAATCTGGGCTGTTTTTTATGGATTAAATTTTGCCTGGGAGAATGGGTGGAGAAAGATAGACGTTGAAAGTGACTCTCTTATAGTAGTTAATTTACTTACCTTGGATGGTAATGACACTCGAAAGCTTCCTCTGGTAGCTAAGATTCGAGTTTTACTTGATAGAGACTGGTTGGTGACTATTTCTCATATCCTAGAGCTAGCAATATTTGTGCGGACTGGTAGCCAAAGATGCCATCAACAAGGATTTTGGTCTCTCTACTTTTTTATCCCCTCATCCGGATCTGCAGATGCTGCTGATTGCCTTGATCCAGGAGACATCACCTCTACTGCTCCTGTTTAATTTGTTGTTTTTGCTTTTCTTGCATTTTGTTTTAGTTAGTGTTCTGTTCTGTTTGTGTTAAAGCCCCGTTTATGTAACAAAAAAAAAAACAGCCATGAGCTTCTTAAAAATGCTTATATCAGTTATGCTTATTTATGCAAATATATATATATATATATATATATATATATATATATATATATATATATATATATATATATATATATATATATATTATATATATAAATATCATAGCTTTTTTTATAACATTATTCTCTAATACATATTTATTATTTTAATATTATTATAAGTTTATTAGTTTCTGATTAGCTTTAAATCTCTTATTGTGTCTCTTGTTCTCCTTTATTATATAACTTCTATATTTTATATTGAAAAATGAGTTGAAATTAAAAGTGGTCAAAAAAGATAAAAGAGGATAAGAAATTCTTAACAAAGTTACAAAATAAGTCACAGCAAAAGCAAACAAATAGATTTGCATCATACAAATGGTTGTGACGTGTAGGTTCTCTTTTTAAGTTCTAATAGTCTAAATTTAAAATGAGCTATGTTTACTTCCTCTAAAAAAAATTGAAAAATTGATCCAATTCAAATCACTTTAGTTGGATTAAATTTGAATTTAGAACCAAACCATTGAATGATAAAGGAAAACAAAA